TTTACGAGGCCTGTGTCAACGACCGACACCCTCAGACACTACCACGGCGTTTACGAGGCCTGTGTCAACGACCGACACCCTCAGACACTACCACGGCGTTTACGAGGCCTGTGTCAACGACCGACACCCTCAGACACTACCACGGTGTTTACGAGGCCTGTGTCAACGACCGACACCCTCAGACACTACCACGGTGTTTACGAGGCCTGTGTCAACGACCGACACCCTCAGACACTACCACGGCGTTTACGAGGCCTGTGTCAACGACCGTTGCTCTCTGGCACTACCACGGCGTCTACGAGGCCTGTGTCAACGACCGTTGCTCTCTGGCATTACTACGGCGTTTACGAGGCCTGTGTCAACGACCGGTACTCCCAGGTACTACCACGCCGTTGACAAGGCGTGTGCAAACGCAGTCTGCACAGCACCAGACACGCCTATATTCACTACGAACAAAGCGACCAGCCCTTATAGAACTTTGAGTACAAACATGTAGGCGCTTGCAATCATATTGACAGAAAAAGCTCAACAAAAGAAAATCGGTGCACAGTCATTCATGATGTTTCGCGGGCTTTTCTTGGTCCCCATAATACAATGCAGTTTCAAGGCAGATGAACTTTCGCTGAGTATCTGTTCCATGGAAGGCTCATTCCTCACCTCCTCCAGGGTCGATGTCAGCGACTGTACTTCAGTGGATAGCGGCTGCCATCTGGTGGTGACCTCGTCAACGAAGTGGGTCGCAGCCTTCTTCTCGTCAGCACCTGCAAAAGTGCCAATATATAAGTGTGTCCTTGCGGCCTGCAGATTCTGAGGTAATGACCTGGGAAGATCTGGCGGAACCGCACTTGCCATTGGTAGATTGCGGATAACTTGTAACTTACGGATAACTTGATCATTTCCAAATGTGCAATATCAACACTCGCGTACCAAAAACGGAGCATGTCAAAAGACACAAGCAAAGTCTCAATACACACTCACATGCTCCATGCCCAGTGCGTAGTGGCCCCTGGCCGCACCACAACCTTAATAGTCACTCACTGATCACCCATTGCTCCACAATAGCATCCCCTCCCCAGCGCCGGCTGACCCCTTTCCTGGCCGGCTGACCTCCCCGGCACTCGCTGATCACCAACCACTCCAAAACACCACCCCGTCCCCAGTGCCGGCTGACCCCTTTCTTGGCCGGTTGACCTCCCTCCCGGCACTCACTGGTCATCCATCACTCCACAATGACATCCCCTCCCCAGCGCCGGCTGACCCCTTTCCTCGCCGGCTGACCTCTCTTCCGGCACTCACTGACGTCACCGTCACGGATCAGGTCATCGGCCGCCTGGCGCATCTCCAGCAGCGGCTTGTCGAAGTCGTGCAGGAGGCCGCCGTCGGCCAGCAGAGCGCCGGCCTCGGCGGCGACGCGCGGCCCCGGCGCCCGCCGCGCCAGCCGCACCGTCCACACGTGCACCGTCTCCTCCACCAGGGTCAGGTGCGTCACCACGCGGTACTGGCGACACAGAGCGCCGGTCAGCGCCGCCAGCCGCAGTCCGTCTCCCGGGCGCCGCCGGGCTTTGGGAGCCGGCAACGGCTTGGTCGGCCGAAAGACATAAATGGAGTGCATGTGTTCTGTGCGTAGGCTGAATTTTCATGGGCTGACGCCGTGTCCCGAACGTGGCCCCCAAGTCCGGCTGCTGGGTCCACCAGTAAAGCTGAGAGGGCGTTCCAGATGACGCGGTTAGCAGCTGATTCGCGACGCGTACATGCCACGGTGACGTCACAGCGACGTCACAGAAAGGTCACGGAGACGTCACACGTTTAACCGGACAGTTTCACCTAAGACGACCTAAATCCTACCAGCCCTACTGGGCATCATGCTCACACCGCCCCCCTTTTGCGATGCGTTATCAGCAACAACCGAATCAATCCCGCCAGCGGTTTGTTGCGTGTTTGGTGCAACATCTGGATCAAGCGCTGCAGCTGATGACTGATGAGATGTGCACTGATGGTGACTGATGAGATGTGCACTGATGGTGACTGATGAGATGTGCGCTGATGGTGACTGATGAGATGTGCACTGATGGTGACTGATGAGACGTGCACTGATGGTGACTGATGAGATGTGCACTGATGGTGACTGATGAGATGTGCACTGATGGTGACTGATGAGATGTGCACCGGGCGCGCCCTCGCCAGCCGCAGACGTCCAGTCAACCCCGGCCGCATCAGCCGACGGTTCCGGCAGCGCCACTGACCCTGTGCACGACGTAGTTGAGCCGGACGGCGCGGCGGCGGGCGCGCTGCCGGGTGCTCGCCAGCCGCGCGTCCAGACGGCGCAGCTGCTGCGGAGGCAGGCGAGCGGCGACCGGCGCCGTCCGAGCGGCGCGCAGCTCGCCCTCCACGCGCGCCAGCGACGAGAAGAACGTCTGGAGACGGGCGGCGCGTCAGGGCCGGCGGGCGGCGGCGCGGGTCAGGAGGGGGTGGGGGTGGGGGAGGTGAGAGTGGGCAGACATTAAACTCGGCACTGCCTAAACCGTACGTACTTTATATCGAGTGTATAGCTTAGCCATACGGCCTGTTCGAGGCCGCGGTTCTATTGTAACTTGTTCAGCTGTATGAGTGACAGGCTAGAATGTCACTGGAAGTTCTCGTAAGGCAGCGAAGGGGTCGCTTGTAATCAACGGTCGCGCTGTTACTGATAATACCACAGTAGTCTGCCAAACCACAGAGTAATTATACTCAGCCCGTCTGCAGGATAGCACTATCGTGCCATGCAACACCATGACAACAATACAGCCTTGCGGTAACGCTTCAGTCAGCCTCAGCCCGGGACCGATCGTCGCTCTGGAATCCGCATAACCGCCCACTTGACATCTGGTGTAACCGCGTGACGCACATATCAGCTGGTCATGTCGCAGTCAGTGCGTGTGGCACTGCTATCACTCCAGCTGAAAGGGGGCGTCGCGTGCTGTTTACGTCGCAGCTGACGCTCAGCCGGCGCCTGAATGGGTCACGCACGCTTGACCGAGGTCGGGCGCGGACGGCGGCACGCCCGCCTCACAACAGGCCACGCACTCTGCAGTGATCTGCTAGGGGCGGCAGGGCCGTTAGTGCAGAGGGCCTTATCTGCGAGTTCCTCGGGAAAACTCAGCACGACCCGTATCAGGGGACCCGCACCTAACATCTAAATCCCCAAATCTGGCCTTCTTCTCCTCTATCTCGCTTTATCCTGCATCCTCGCGACACCTCGCCTGTCCGGAGCAGACTGCATGCGTCAGCCGCGAGTGTGCAGAGCCTCGTGGGAAGGGGGACCCCGAACGGGTACCCAGCGCGCATGCGCAGGTTAAAGCTTGGCAGTTGCCCCCCCCCCCCTCCCTCCCTCAGGCGCATGCAAGTCTGCCCTACGTTTAACCATTTGCACCATCCCATAGCCCTGGAATTATCATTTCTGATAGAAAGGGCTCAATATAAACAACCAATCTAAATCCCCAATCTTTTCCCAACCTAAATCCCCACTTTTCGGAGGTCATCAGTGGGCCGGAACAACACTGTTCTGCGGGGCAGGGCGAGTGCGATCGACGTCCGGCTTTTCTTGGCGGTGGCTTATCGCTGATACCACCGGCCCGCGATTACCGACCACCGTCTGATACGTTACGAACGGGCTGCGCCACCTGAAGGACTGGATATTTTACGGAGCTGGCCGGCAGACCCTAACGTGGCGTTGTAACCACCCAGAGTTAATTACGCCCCTCAAGCAGGCCTCCGCAGGGTCCGTGCGGGGGGGAGGGGCAAGCAAAACACCGCGTCTGGTCGCTTAAGATCGATTCGGAGTTACCCTTTGCAAGCAGGCCTTCGCGAGGTCCGTGGGGGATGGAGGGAGCGAAGCGTCTGGTCTGGTCGTTCAAGATCGATCTTTACCTGTATTTCGCGTGCGGTGTCGCGTGGTACGGTAACGACCACGAATGGCGTGGGGGAGGGGTAGGGGGGCCAATTCCGCCCACCTCTGGACCTAATGGGGTTGAGCACCATTCGCACTGAAATCATGCATCGCAATCCGATGAATTGCAAACACTTTAATGAAGCAACTGGCGGCCAGGTAAGCTTGTTTCTTGTTTAAATCGTATTTCCAAGTCTCAGCTCATCTAATCCCAGCTTTCCCGACGCACGGTATCGCCGGCCGCTGGAGGAGTCGGTTACCGAACGGGATCCACAGTGAGTCATGACTCGTTACCTCACTGAGCACGCCCCGCTGACATTACACTCATCCATGCAATTTTGCGAGGCGTAACCTACACTCGACTATGCACAAAAATGTTACGGCAATGAGTTCAGTGCGCATCGATAGCCTCCACCACGTATATCAACAGCGCTCCCCTCGCTGGCTCCCACAGGCGTCCAGGTACGAAAGCAACACAAAGTTAATCTGCATGGGTTGCTCTGACCAGGGGCTCAGTACAACCTTTCCCTATAACGCGCGTTCACGCCATTTCGCACTGCAGTTTGTTGTGAACCGTGTCCGGGTGGGAAGGACACCCCAGGTGTCTTAACAGCTGTCGGACTCATGGATTTATGTTAAAGTCTTGACCAGTGACGAAAACACGACCGTTTCCAAGGTTCCGAGTAAGTAAGTGCATCAAGTAAGCCTTAGCCGTGATTTATCACGACAAAACTACCACAGGGCTGCAAAAAAGCTGTGAGACAGTTTGCACCCAACTTTTACAACAGTTTGCCCAAAGCCGGAAAGAGACCAGGCAAGTTTTGTACAGAAGACTCGCATATGGATAGATTACCGAGAAGTCGTACCATGCGACCGAAAACGTGGTTACCTTCGTTTCAGTCATACAGCCAAGGTATAAACGAAAACACTGGTGCGGAACTCTGTCCACTGCATCAAAGCGCTTCTCTTCAATGCAAATAGACCATCATGTATTTCGTAACACGCCTGGATTCAAAAGAAGCAAAGCATCATCTTCAAGCAGTTCGCGGCCCACAGAAAGACACGGTTGTGAAGGCCGACCCCCGTGGGACGAGGTACGCAAGCACGCACGTTAGTTACATCACCAGGGACCCAAAGCATTGAACGAGAACTGTCAGCCCCAGCGGGTAGTCCCAGTGCCCAGCGCCCTAATGCATCATGCACACCAAACATAGTTTCATGACGAACTGAAGCCACCGACATCCACACCGCAGCCCAAAGCGAAACACATACACTTCCACTGTTTATTACGAGCAAACCAAGCACTTACTCGCGAACAACTGAGATAAATGCCTTCTAAAGCAAAACGCACAACGCAAAAGAAAAAGTGTAACACGCAAGAAAACAACAGCAAAGTGCAAACTACAGCTGCCTCGTGCACGAGATTCCAGCCGGAGTTAGTGGCGGCTGCCGGCCAGCGTGCGTGCTGAGCGCGGGGGGCGGCCGGCGCCGCTAGGTGGGGCAGCCGACCAGTACCGTGTGCTCCTCCAGGATGACGGTGACGCTCTGGGGCGCACGCGCGCTGCCGACGGCCGGGTCCTGCGCCCTGTCCAGCAGCGTCTCGGCGCGGCCCACCCAGCTGGCCACGCTCTGCAGCGGCGCCGGCAGCCGGCCGTCCAGATGCGCCTGCCACTCGTCCAGCTGCCGACACAGGCGCCGAGACCGTCAGCGGCCGTCGCCGTCGCGTGAGACGGGCCCGCCGCCGGCTCGGCCGCCGCCGGCACGTCTAGCCGAGGTCAGGGACGCCGGCTGGACTGACAACTCCTAATCAAGGCGGCCGCCGCCGCTACCCTGAGCCGCCGTGGCATTCAACGCACAGCAGCCTTAGGTAAGAGGACGCCGTTTTTGAAAAGCAGCTTTAAGCTGAGCTGAAAATTGGCGCACAAACAAGACATATCAAGCTGTGTCTACAGTTCAGCGTGGTGACTTTACAACGATCTCAGTCCTTGATGAGGTAAGTTGTTCAGTGCATTAGCGAGGAACGTTATTCACATAGATGAGACAGTAGTAATAGCCTTATTCCCCAGACAAAAACCAGGAGAGTGGAGATACAGATTGGTTGATATTTCGGCAACATGCCTCTATCGAAACAATGGCAGATGTGCTATTGTTTTGATAACGGCATGTTGTCGAAATATCAACCCATCTTTACCTCCATTCTCCTGGTTTTTGTCTGAGGAATAAGGCTATTACCACTGTCTGCTCTCAGTTCTTCTTTGACTCTCTCTGATTCGGAAGCGGAATTCACAGCAATGCCAAGAGGTGATTTCAATCACCGCGCACATGGTTGGTTGGCTACTTGGGATTTAGGGCGCGTCAACCACACAGTCATACACCGCCCATTCAGTGCGCGCGTGTCCACGAACGGAAATACACGCGGCAGTCCTATGGCACGGCAGTACAGTACATTATGCATGAGGACGAGCTGTAACTGGACCCACAGATGATTGAATTGTGATTCTCTTGCTCGGTTTTGTCCAATAGGATCCAGTCCGCTGTACCCGACCAAAATGCTACAGGAAGTATGGATATTTCGCTCACTGGGCAATGTGGGCACTCAAAATGGCACGCAAATGGGCACTCAAAAGAACCCGCTCATAACCGGATGCCTTCATGTCAGCTTGTCAGATTGTCCCGGCTGTCAGCCTGGCCCACTTCGCGCGCGAGTACCGCCACGGCGCTGGGCCCGGCCTGCCCCGTACCAGTGTCTCGAGGGTAGTCCAGTCCTCGTCGGCCCGCTGCCAGCCGTCGGCCGGCATCAGGTCAGCCGTCTTGCGTAGCTCGGTGTACCGCAGCCGACGCTCCGCAGCCTCGGTGCGCGTCGAATGGTACCTCTGTCGGCGGAGCAACACGCTGGCAACCGATGCCGACGAGGTGCAGGGCTGCGGTGCTGGGCTTAACGACGCATGCTACGCAAGGGAGGAGGCGGACTACCAGGTTTTAGGAAGCGGCTGTCATGTAACGACGAGAATGTAACGGATAGCGACAGTGCGTGTCACGCTCTTGTCCGGGCTCCAGCCATGGCGGGTCGTGTTGACCTGCCGACGTCCGCCTACGTGACATGGCTCATCTGATATGCTGCCTACCACCCTGACCACTATCTGCTATTACGTCATCATGAGGTCCGATGCCAGACATCTGATACCGTCAGATCCGGTGTCTGATATGCGACATCCGAGGTCTGATAACCATGTGCGGCATGGCTGGGGTGCGGCGATAATAACGTAACGCATCGGGCTTCCCATGTAAAATCGAACTGTACACACAATCGATAGTAATGGGAAAGCTATTGTTCCGTTCCTCCTGCATGCAACCACTTGAAGTGTAATTCAGAAACGGGAAGAGGGGAACCAAAAGAAAATAGAACGGGAGTTGGAGAGATGGCGCGGGAGACCGGAAATAAATGTGGGCTCTAAAATGTGAAACTACGGTTGCAAGCCTTTACTCAATCACTAAACGGTGCAGTAACGTAACCTTGTGAAACCCGGGGATTTTTAGCCCACAGTCTAGAAATATTGCACATGCATAGTAAATAAACGAACGAGTGAAACAAAACCGCCCTGTTTGCATTGGCAACGCAACCTCGAATATATCACCGACTAATGTTTATTCGCTGACATCACCAACTTATCTTCACTAGTGTTAGTTTATGTTCATCAAGACGACAAGACCGACTAAAAAAAGACAATGGCACTACATCTCTGATGAGGGATGATGGCAACCAAGCCGCAAAGAACGTCTTCTCTGCTCACCTCAAAATTGTCCTTCTCTGGCGACCGAATGTTTCGGACGATGCGTATCGTCCGGATGATCCAGACAGTGATCTCCATGACCTCCTGTTTGGGGGTGCGCTGCTCGCCACTCGCCGACTGAAAAAGGCGTACCATTAGGCACGCACCAGGATTCTCACGCTGGGCGGCGGAGAATACAACACCAGGGAGCGTGCTCGGTATCCGGTGAGGGAAGGGTGGCCCAGTTCTTGCCGACCTTCGCCAAACACCACAGGCGAAGGAACACGATGCTCTGCGCGTAACAGTCTCGGGTCCGGCCTCTCCACCCAGGGCTGACACGATGTCGTTTAAGGCGCTAAGCCTCACCGCATCAATGGGGCAGCGGCGCGAGACCTCCGCCCCACCCACGTGTCAGCCATGCCCTGGCCATTGAATGCAGCGTGGCCAGTTTTTGTGCGCCGCGCGAGGGCCACTGGCCATTCACACGCATCAGCGTTCTTTCGCCGGAGCGCAAGGCAGCGCACTCACGTAATCCGGTCAAGATCACCGTGGAAGATACGTCCACTTTTTACACATCGCCTTCCGATTGAGCAAGCAAACATTCCTATCAGCTCTCCGCACAGCGTGCCCCTCCCCCCCCCCCCCCCCTCCACACCGGTCTATTGGCCCAGCGCCAGATACAGCTGGGTGGGAATCACACGCGTCCAATGAGGCCAGCGCAGGTTCAAAGCGGGCGCCGCAGGGCGGAGCGCTGGGTCAGCAGACAGAGGCGGGCCGCGGCACTTCGGATGTGCTCCCAGCTGGGAGCCAGCTCCGCACGGACCCAACCAGCCAGCCGACATCGCAGATGCCGATGGAGGTGGCACAAATTAACGATAAATGCAAGTCAAACAGCACATCAGCCAACTCGCCTCCTCGCTGAAACTGGTATTAAACCAGCACCACTCATCCTGCGACATGCTAAATATAGTCTCCAATAGCCATGCGCAGACTGGCTGTGTCTGCTGTACCTATTGTAACAACCAATACCTCGAGCGTACGGGACTAGAATGCCCCACACCGCGCCCACATCGAACCCAGCTGCTACGTCGGGCCCTCAGACCCACCCCAGTGCGTTAGACGACTGCCTCGCAGCTGCACCTCCATCACTCACCGGCTGAAGTGTCTTGGGTTTGGGGTACTTGTGCACGAACTGGGCCACGTACGTCATCACCGACTTCTCGTCCGGCTCCGGCACGTCCACGTCCTCGGGGTCCAGAAGTGGGGCGATGCCCAGCTGCTCATCGGCCGCCTACAGCGTCACAGGCTGGGTCAGGCAGGGTCACAGGCCGGGTCAGGCAGGATCACAGGCCGGGTCAGGTAGGGTCACAGGCCGGATCAGACAGGGTCACAGGCCGGGTCAAGCAGCGTCACAGACCGGGTCAGGCAGCGTCACAGACCGGGTCAGGCAGGTCACAGACCGGGTCAGGCAGGTCACGACCGGGTCAGGCAGGTCACAGACCGGGTCACGCAGGGTCACAGACCGGGTCAGGCAGCGTCACAGACCGGGTCACATACGTCACAGACCGGGTCAGACAGGTCACAGACCGGGTAAGGCAGAGCCGCTGGCCAGGCCAGGCAGCAGGACACAGGCCAGGCCATGTAAGACCGGGTCAAGGCCAGGTCAGGCGGGTTTAAAAGTCGGGTAGCCGGGGTAACCGACGCCCCGTCGGTGGAGTGCTACACCGCGCCCTAGCCGGCGGGACTCTCTGAAAGGCTGGGTTTATGGGCGGGTGCGCCGTCTATCGTCCATCCAACGGTACACCCAGCATTGTTTTTGTCCTCTGTGCCGCCAGCTGAACCGCGTAAACAAATGTCCACATTTCAGAACCTTTCAAGGTCCTGGGTCATGGCCATTTTTTAAAGACTTGGCCACATATCACGTTCAGCGGTGCGCACCAGCACAGCTCACCTCCTCCGAGCTTTTACGAGTTTTATCCGAGAAGAGAGATGGACATCCCGGCACACACACCACAATCCATCGATCTGTGACCCCACGCCGCGTGAACCACCGGCGCCCAGCCACGCCGACAGCGGCAGCCGGCCGGTGCACACCTTGAAGGCGGCGCCGAGCCGGTTCAGTGAGGTCATGCGCTCGGCGGCGCCGACGTCCACGGCCGTCGGCTCGATGCAGTGCACCACGGCGACGAACGCGCGGCCATCGCGCCACGACGGTCCGAAGTCCTGGATCTCGATGCCGTACATCCTGGCGGGGCGGACAGGCGGCGGTGGTACAGCTCGCGGCGTGCGGGCGGAGCGGCGCGCTCCGGGTCGCGGTGCGGACAGGCGGCGCTGCCAGTGCAGACTGCACCGAACGCCCGCGTAACATCGGCGGGACCGTTTGCGTTAACAGCGACAGCGGCGCTAAAAACACGCTAAAACGACATTCGCAGAGGGGAATGAGAACCGGTCATCTTCCACGCGCATGTCGCGCAAACCGGTCAACCGTACGCAGCACAGACCAGAGACATCCCAGTACATACATCATCAGCATCCAGAGACGGCTGCGGCGAGCTGCCCGCCCGCCGCCCTCATGCGGGCGGTGCCTGGCGCGTGAAGAGGACGCATCACTCAACAGACCATCCGGCAATCCGTCCGGCGGCCCCTCCCCTCGCCCCCCGGACTCACTGCGTGGCGCCGCGGGCCCAGCTAAGCAGCGCCTTGCGGGCGCCGGGCTGCGGCTGCTGCGGCCGCGGCTGCGGCGGCGCCCCGTTGGCCTGCTGCTCCGGTCCGGCGGGCCCGGCGGCGGCCGAGGCGGCCATGCGCTCCTCAGCGCTGGCCAGGCTGCCGCTCCAGGCCAGCTGCTCCAGCGCACGGGTGCTCATCTCGATCTGCGTCAGGTCAGCTCAGGTCAGCTCAGGGTCAGGTCAGCTCAGGTCAAGCCGGTCCGTCGCGATACAGGCGCGCTCGGTGTAGACGGGGGCTCAGAATCGACGACGTGGATGACGGCAGCACGAATCGGCTCGTTCTAGCGCGCTACACTGCTCCCCGCTTCGGGGTGGGTAGTATGGCGCGCTGGTAGAGGACGGAGCTCAGATGGATTATGCACTCACCACACGTGGTGAGCGCATGGAGCACTTAGCACTTTGCTCCCGATCAAATGACAACCCAAATTACGTTCCTCACTCCCCACAGCGCAACTTCAGTTTTCCATGCCGACGCTCTCGCTGACGAAAGCCTTCCGCTCTCGCTGCTCAAGGACCAGGTCGGACATGGCACGACAGCACAGCCGAGTATCGTTTGCATACGGTGACATCATCTCGGAGGTAAGGCAAGAGCGGTATGAAAGCGGGCACCGGTTCTACGCCCCCATGAGAGCCTGTCAAGCGGGCCCGCCCGACTTCCAGCCTCCAAACCCGCCTATACGCCGGAGAATGCATCGCTGGCAGACCTGGAAGTGCAGGATGATGGTCCAGACGAGGCCGAGGATGACCGGCGGCCGGCCGTCCACGATGTCCGACGGGTTGATGTTGACCAGTTTATCTGCGGCAGGCGACATCGCTCGCTCACGGCTCTGGCACGGCCCGAGCGCGCCGCGTCCGCAGCTCGGGTGCAGCCAACCCTCACACCCGGATAATCCCCGGAAGGAAAATACCGAGCGCCGAGTGTCACGCCCACGCGGGCTCCTATCTGTCCGCCGCCCCGACCGCCAGCCAGGCTGAGGCGGGGGGGGGGGGGGGGGCGGGGGCAGAGGGCTGGCGCTGTCACGAGACACGGCCTCTGGCCACGGCACCGCCCACACGGTCAACAAAACATCCACAAACGAGCGACTAGTAAAACGCTACCGCTGTCTACCCATTCATTCCACGAGTTTGAATGAACCTGGCGGCAGACTGTCCCCGACAACCAAGTGTGCGCTCCAGCCGCCGGGCGAACGCCCACATCCACCTGCGACCGCCGGCAGGCCCTCTCATGTGTCATGGCTGCCGCTTCACACGGGAGAACGCGGCGCTCAAACTATGCACTCGGCCGCAGCGCTGCACCACGTCCGTGTGACGTCACCGGCAGCCGGCACGCAACCGCGGCGTGCCGGCGGCGGCGGTGCGCCCCCCCCCCCCCCCCCCCCGCCGCCCGCCGCCGTCCAATCCCGTTGTCACGCGCTGTTTGCTCAGGCGGTACCTGGGCGGGCGACGATCCATCCCCGGCCGGCTCGCGTGGTCCGAGCGCCGCGCACGTCGGCGGCCGGCCAGGAGCGGCGCACGTGACGCGCTCCTCCCGACAGGACAGCAGAACAAACAGCCGCCCCGCTCTCAGAGGGTCTGCCCTCGTGACCTTGGCGCCGGAGGGGTGTCAAACGGGCCCCGGTGGTCCGCGCCTCAGCGGCCGTCACGTACCGGGTCGGTCCACCGGCGGAGCGGGCGACCGCGGGCTGACCGTCTCACATCGGACTGTTTGTTTTTGTTTGAGGAAGCTGTTTGAACGGAGCATCCGTGCCTTTTCAAGTGTGTCAACAACAGAACGAGGGGCATACTATAATAGTGGTCATTGTGACGTACATTTGTGAGCGTATTTCGCCGGTAACTTTCGCGGCACAAACCAAGAACAGCAGCAGCGATAACTGAAGGTCGAAAAGATTGGTGATTTCAATTGCAACAACCGTCCTGAAGTACGTAAGGCTTTTGTAATGTAGTCAGCCTAGATGCGACAAGCTTTTGACGCGCTGCGCGGTTACTTAATTAAGGGCTACTGTAGACATCAGTCGGCTAACACGCACCCACCTACACAGTACCCTGCTTTCCGGTCCCAGTATTCCCCACATGCCTGTCTCTGTGTAAAGAAACGACACCATTCCAGCGATGCACGTTTTCTCGGTAGCCCCTGATGCGAGTACAGCCAGGGCCGGATCCGGCACATGACGGCGGGAGGCAGTTCCGGATTCGCTGCCATCTACGCGAAGCTAGCTCAAACATGAGAAGTCACGCTTTTCCGCGGTCTTGGGGGCACGGTCTAATCGGCCCCTACCGTCTAGACCTGCCCGTAGCATACCCAGGAGTCGACCTTGCACCAGCAGCAGCCACTCCTGTGCCTGCCGTGGTGGGTGACGTCACACCCGGCCGGCTCTACGGCCGGCCGCACCACGTGGGCGGCCGGGGGCGTACTTCCCGGCTTTCACACGGCAGCCGAGCGTGCAGCCGCTCCGGACCAGGGGCGCGGCGGGCCGGGCTCTCCACCAGTACGGCCAACCGGGGCTAATCCTCCGCGCCTCGTAAGGCTTCGCAGCAGCTCTGTTTTACCTTCAAGCAAAAACTACTCCAGTCCTCCGATCTCCCCCCCCCCCCCTCCCCATATCCATGCACGCTAACCTGCTCCATCCCATTTTCACGCGGTGTTACCACGCCGCAAGAGGACCATCAATCACCGCAGCATGCGCCCACGCCAGCGGCCGGGACCGGGCCCTCCTCCCGGACAGCCGCCAGGGCCGCCAGCGGACGAGCCAGCGCCGCCAGCGCCGCCTGCGCCGCGGCCACTCACGTGTCGGCTCTGCAGGAAGCGCAGCGCCGTGTTGGCGTTGCTGAGGAAGTGCGGCGTTCGCAGCACCCGGCTCCTCTCCACCGGCTGGGGAAGCGACAGCGCATGTCACCGCCGCTGAGAGGGGGCTAACACACGCCAACGGCTCCGCTACATCCGGTAGTTGCTCAGCACTCCACACAGAAAGCGCGGCCTTCGCGACATGTAAATCGAGCCGCAGGTCTGGGCGGGTGATGTCAGCGCGTGGGTGGGGAGATGAGCTCTTCAGCGATGACCGGCGGAAAGAGCACCGAGCCCGGGTCTGCTAGTTGTCAGAGCGGGGACTAAAAAGCAGTCGGTCCCAACGACCTTCTGCGTCACTTGGGTGGTCATGCTGGCGCATTAGCACCGAGCGTCACCAGTCATACGAGCACTTTTCGCGTGTCACGGTTGGGCCTCCCGGTGCCAGAAGCAGAGAGGTCGGTCAATACGAGCCAAAGTCATCGTCAAGGACCCGCTCGGAGGATTTAGTGTTTAGTGTTAAGTTAAAACCATCACGCACAAAAGACCAACACACCAGAATCCAGCATGACGCGAATAGAACAAACCATAAACGACCACACAACACGAAGTCGCCCTTCGCCTAAACACCGGCAGCGGCGGGGCTGCGTGGTCTAACCGATCCGGCACCGTGACCAATAGGTCCAGGGTTCAATACTCGACCGGTGCGTTTTTCGCTGACCATCGACATGACAGCGGCCGCAAGCGGCGCTGAAACGACACGGCCTGTGCAGTCACCCGCACCAATGAATGTTCTCACTCTTGGCTGTCAGAGTGACGGGCACCAGCGCCGCGTCAGGGCGGGTCGGCCCAACACCCACCAGATCCTCCCCGGAGAGGACGTTCAGCAGGGCCAGCAGGCGCGTGCTGTCCTTCAGGTCGTCAATCAGGTTGGTCATCTGCATCGGCGGCTTGTGCTGTCGGCAGAGTCAGACGCAGTTAGCGCTGGCGATCGGGGCAGACGGCGCACACAACATTATGCGACGTACACCCCCAATCACGCGCCGAGGGAGGGGGCGAGGCGGGAGGTCACAGCCCGAATGAATGGTTGGTTAGATGGAGAAACACTGGCCATTTAGCCTGCTGGACACCCGCTGGGTCCATTTTCTTTCAGCTTCTTTGACGGTGCGCTGCGAGCATTGTCGTGCTCAGTTCACCCTCGGCATGTACACACAGTCGATCATATGATTGCGAGAAGCCGGCGGAGCCTGACATCACTACCCCGACCGGTTTCAGAACCGGCCTGGTGTATGAAGCCGAGTGCGTTTCTCGGTAAAAGAGTCTGGCAGACTTTCACGAAAACCTCACAGCCTATCGGTACATACATGGCCGATACGAACGAGCTAACCCGTTTTTCGCCTGACGAGAGATTGGACGCAAATCCCTGCATTGGAAGCCACTGCAAAGCCACCGGATAAGCCGCTTTGCAAGCACGAAGGCCAGTGGCCCGCCCCCGGTGCCGGCTCCAAGCGCGCGGAGAGCGAGCTGTTCTCTGAACGGCACCTGAGCCGGTATGTCTCCCCGGCACCGCACAAGACTGCCTTCTGGCGCGGCTCGTCTGCCGCTGCCGGCAAGCCGCAGCACCAAGGCCTACAATGCAGGTGTAAACCTCTATACTGTAGCATTCAGCATCCGGCAGGCAGCGGGCAACAGTAGGCGCTATAGACGGCCGGCCTGCCGTGCTCCACACAGGAAGGTGCGGCCTTACACCCCCACCCCCCCCCCTTCCTCCCAGCCGTCACTGCCGCGCGGGACGTGGGCGTTTTGGCGCGCGGGGCGAGCGACCACAGCTGCCTCCTGTAGGTGCACGGCCATTGGCGCAAATGGAGGCGCGGCATGGCGCCCTCGGTCTGAATCGCCGCTGTGCCGGACGGATCGGAGGAGCGGCACGGTGCCCTCGGTTTGAATCGCCGCTGCGCCGGACGGATCGGAGGAGCGGCACGGCGCCCTCGGTTTGAATCGCCGCTGCGCCGGACGGATCGGGCCTGCGGTAGGCGTGACGGTCGGCGCGAGGGTGACGTCAGCCGCCGCGGGGATGACGTCAGACGTGCCGGATGGGAGCGGTGGGAAACGGACGAAGTGGGGCGACGTGAAATGATGTTGCACCACTTGTGGAATGTGAACTGTCTGTGTACCGCTAAGTGAACATCGATTATACCAGATAATTG